TTACCAGATACTCAGGGGTTTGGGCCTACGTTAAGACTGAGAAATCTTTTTGCTGATATATTAAGCAAGTGGTCGTGAGAGAGCTTGCTTCTCCAATGAAGATAGGCCGGTCAAAGGAAAACAAGACGTAAAAAATGTGTGAAACGATTTAGAGTCGTTTCTTGTTTATGTTTCATTTTTATAATAAAGAAATATAGAATTGCATGACGTCCCGACTTATAGATTCAATAATAATAAAATAAGATCTTTATTTATGTTGGAAAAAATTAGAAACGGGAACGAGAAACAAAAATTGTTTTTGTTGTTTTCAATATTTCTATCCAATTTTAAGAATGTTTCTAGTAAATGAGAAACAAAAAATATAAATAATTGTCAAATATTTAGACTTTTTAATAAAATTGAAAACGAGAAATAAGGAGCGGAAACGTTATCGAACAGGCTCTTAAAAACCTGTTAACCTAGTCAAAGCTTATTAACTCATCTCGAAACGTGATTGTCAACTAATGTCTTGCAAGACAAATTTTGTGAAATCCAGTTATAAATATATCAAATCTTAGTGTTTAAGACATTTCAAGAATCTGATTAAGCTGTTATAATAAGTCAACTCAAAATATTCTTTTGAATCAAACTGGAATTTAGTGCTCTAGTTTGTATAAGCAAATTCTTAACCAGCTCGGAGAAAGTTCTTGATGATCCACGAAGACCATCACAATCGAGGTATGAATTTGAACGTATGACTTTTTGGTTGGAAATATATACTACTTTAACCAATCTAAATATGTTCATATTAGCTGGAGGAGGAAAGATTTAATGCTACAAATGAAAATAAGAAAATAAATTAATGGGTTGTTTGATAACCAATTCGTTTTTTTGTGTTGGGTGTCAACATCCAACCTGGAGACCACTCCGCCACACCTGCTGTTACATCAGGATCAAAACTAAAAAAACAAAAACAAAAACAGAAAATTTTCCAAGAATAAAAATTTTAAGAGAGGAAAAGGAATTTAGAAAGAAAGAATATTTGAGATTTCAACATGTTGAATAATTATTCTTCATTTTCTATTTTCAGAGAGATATGTTTATGGAAATATATGAAACATTTTCTCTCTCTGAATTACTTATCCACGCATCCCTAAATTTCTACTTTTGAACTCCAATACATATCTCTAACTTATTAGTATAAAACTCAAAACATTTATTAAACATGTTTGATTGTTTATATATTTATTACAAAAAACAAAAATCATGTATATATGATTTTTATTACTAAAACCAGAAAACAAAAAATCAAAAATAAAAAATCAAAATGCTTATGAAAGGGAATAAGATATATGAGGGCAATAGAGAGAATAAACTTGATAGGGGGGATGGATGAGAGAATAAACATTGGTTTAGGACCATGAATAGACGTTTTTCTTTATTGGAGAAAGATGGATAAACGTTTTGTGGATGGGATTGGAAAAGGATCCGAGTGTTACAGCAACTGAGCCGAAGGTTCTTTTGCTTCCACTTTTCTAATCATAACTTAAATGTTTAAAATCTGGTTACAAATTTACCAAAATGTAAAGACTTTTTTGGTTTTTCCACGTGATTTTGACCGTAGGAAAAATAATCTTAACCCTGTTGGAACTATGGAGTTTCATCTCAAAATCAATGAGCAACGAGAGAAGTAGTCCGTCTCTTATCTTTTCAATGTGAAATCCTTGACATACACCACTCCTGAACATGCCCTTACACAATTGTTGCAGTACTTTTTACCTTCTCAAACTTCGTTTAATTCACTCGCTAATTTTGAGAAAGGCAATATAAATTATCTCCAGAAGGTAAGAGGGAGAGCTCTCATCCACACATATGATGAGAGATAGAGAGAATAAACTTGATAGGGGAGATGGATGAGAGAATAAACTTTGATGTAGAGTGGAAGGGGGATGGATTGACGTTTTCCTTTTGTGAATAAAGATTGGATATAGACGTTTTGTGGATGGGAGTGGATTAGGGTTCTTTTGGTTTCACTTTTCTAATCCTATCTTTCAAGGTGTTTGGGGAAGAGAATACCCTGGACACGTGGAGGACCCCTATTGGTGCTCCAAGATTACTCATGAGTCATGCCCAGCTCGGACGGCAGAGATCACCACCACTAGCGTTGACAGATGCTAAGTATGAGGGTCGGGGTGAACCTGGCCGAGGTCCAACCTACCGGGAAGCTCGGTGGGGGCCCATGTGAGCTACTGTCAGCGGCGTGATTATCGAGTATAACCGACGGTCCCGAGATTACCAGGTGTAATCGTCGGGAGATTAGCGGGACTACCACCCATAAGTAGAGGACTTCACTCCACGATCAGGTACGATGATTTCTGACCTCGAACTAAACTGGGAATCCGACCTATACTTACTTGATCGTCGGAGTGCTCACCTTTTTGTGTAGGTCCGCCCAAGTATTCAGATCGGTCCGGAGGCCGAGTTCGAGCTGCAATCTGAAATATACTGTTGTGCATATCCTTGCATAAACATTTGGCCCCGTCTGTGGGGATGACAATCTAAGTCATCCCAATCCTTTTAAACCAATACGCGAGCGAAAATGGTTCAACCAGCAAACTCAACCAATACGGCAGATCGAAGGACTCTAGCTGCCAGCGATGCCCACCAGAGGGAGGTCGGAGCAGCAGTGGTAGAGGGGCAAGGTCACGACGGCCTAGCAACAGAACCCCTCCGCAGGTCGGCACGAATCACCG